AATCATTTTACTATATAACATTTTTAATTTTTTTTATAATGGTTTATTTATTTTTTTACTATAGAAACATAAGAAAAATATATAATAACTTAACTAATTAAATATTTCAGTAATTTTCAATATACCTCTGAAGTTGTTCAGTCTATGTTCATGGTAGTCGATTRTTTGATAATTAAAACRCCTGTATATGATTTGAGAATTGCTTGAGTTCGCAATGGTATTTATCATTTAAAAAGTTCTTCAATAACATGGYAAATGCTTGGATAACCAAAAATTAAWATAAGATATATGAACTTGTTATTCCACATTCCACCCTTTCTGAATAATAATTCAAGTATTCCCAAATGCAGTAGCATTGTCAACTCTCCATATTCTAATATATACAACTGACATACCTACCTAAACTGAATAAAAATATATATATCAATAATCAAGTTGTCAAGTTCACATATTATTATCAGTTACTATACAAAATAATTTGTGATAACTTATGCAAAAATTTACCTTAATTATTTTAATATTATTAAATTAAATACCAAATGTTTAAATGTAATAACATCATCCAGTTTCMAAAAAACAACACATTCAGTGAATGCAACMGATCAACAGGTGTCAAACATCCCGTTTTAAGTGTGTCCTGGTTTTTGACACGWTTCGTCGTGTCAGAGTAGACTWAATTAAAATTAATGAATTTAGCTTGAATAATTAYATAATTGTTGAATAGTACTCACTCAGAGTTGACGATCGACAGGCGTCGCGCTCGATCACTTGAATTACTGAAGCAGTGAAACATCCACAAACACATACACAGCAACACGGATAATCACGTACATGTTCAAAATTCTGTGATAAATTATAATGTTGATATTTGTTGTGAATTTTGATACTGAAAACTGAATGGTCATCGAGAGGCCAAGCATGTTTTTCGGTAAGAATTAATGTTGGCAATATTGGTGTATCGGAATTCTGATTATCGATAATAGGTTTAATATTTCAAAATCTAGACTGATACCTATTTTTGAACAAAAAACGAACAATTCGTCGTCATTAATATCGTACTTCAAACGTAACAGTTATACCTTATACGGCATAATATGTAAATTATCATACAATATTATTGTACCTAGCTGTTCTTTTATTTAACTTGTGGGCAAACCAGTTTACTTGAATAGTTTGAAAAAATGGACACTTATTAGTTACCATCTCTTCATTTAAGAATAACACTGGATCGAACACTAATAACTTTGTTAGAATTGTTGAGATGCCAAAATGTTGGCATGTTTAATGTTTATTTTGTCATTATTTTTTTAAACATTATAGTCTGATGATTCAGATAATTAGATAATACAGTCAGCATATGGCAACACTTTTAAAATATAGATGGCGCCATCGAATCAAGYAGAAATAATGTTATGGAATGCCAACGAACCAGGTTACAACACAATAAACTACAAAAAAATAAAACAATATAATCGACGTAACTGACCCGTTCCATAAATAGATTCTTGATCACACAGTTTAGGACAAAAAACATAATGTAATGCTCTCAGAGGGGTGATAAAATGAGAAATAGAAAAATTCAAAAATGTATTGGTTTCCAAACATGCGAGATTTTTTTTTAACTGAGACGAAGAACTAATTAATATTTTTTTGTGGAAATTTTCTTAGTCCCAAAATTG